ATTAATTATACGGACTAAGCAGTCAAAATGTGGATACTAATTCATATAATAATCTAGGGAATATAGCTTTATACAAAAATAACAAAGTGTAAAAATTCTTCTTCCCCAAGGTGTATACTCTCTAAATCTTCCTTTCTTTTTTGTATTGCTTCTACTTCAAATTCATCTATAACATAACACTACTTTAATGAGAGGCCCAGATTGCCTCTTGCTTAGGAAGCTGTAACTTTGGGAAAGAAGGTCACACTCACACTTATACTCTGTGTAAGGGGACAACAGGAAAAGTCCTCACAGGTTCAAAGACAGTCCAGCATAGTTTACCAGAGTAAAGATTAGAGATTTGAACATACAACCCCAGTTAGAAATAAAACACACTCTGTTATTGGGAGCTTTTGTCTTATACTTGTCCCTCAGGAATCCTAGAAAGATAAAAGCCATATAGTAATTAAGTAGCATAGGATCCAAGGATTCTGGAAACTTTGAATACGTAAATCTAAAATTTACCATTTTAACACTGCTTTTTATGGCAATTGATACAGAGCTTCAATTCTGCATGAGATTTGCTGGTATATACTTGCAAAAATTTTATTATTAACATTCCTTAAATCTAAGGCTAGAAGATTAAAATTTGCTTTTAAGAAAGGTTGACTCATGGTCTAAAATTACCGAAAATTTTTTAGTTTAGAATAATACATCTTGAAATATGTGGGTTTTCAAGGCAGACAAGAAATTTTAGGTATTGATAGGATGAAAGGTATTACCATTAATTGACTATATTTATTTTCACTGAAAAATTCCAATAATGCAAATGTATTAAAATATTTCAATAGAAATTTTTATAGTTAAAAATAAAAAATGTTAATTATACTTTTGGGTCTAAATTTCCTACAAATCAGCAGATTAAAAAACAGGTTCTTTTTATACCAACTATGAGAACAATTTTTATACATAGCATTAACCAAGTACATACCTATACTCGGGGTCACTATCATAGGCAGAGTCTCTGTATAAAAGACTTCTTTTCAGGTCCAATTCATCCTCTTTCTCTAGGTCTCGCTCATCCTGAAAGATTTAAAAGATTTTTGTTAATTTATTTTCTTACTGCCCCCAAATAATGCTTATTTGTGTGTGTGTGTGGGGGGGTATGCTCTTCCCCGTTCCCATTATAAGAAATTGAATTAAATGTTAGTATGTCTTTGGTAAGAAACAAAGGGTAAGTGAAAATTTATTATCCTTTTCAATAAACTGTACAGTTTTATTATAGCTGTACTAATACTGCTTATCAAAGACTAAGCATTCAGTAGATGCTTCTTGAATCAATGAATGAATGGGAACAGATCCTGTGTCACGATATATTAATTAATAATATAAAGTTTTGTATGAATTACAAAAACATTGTACCTGCATTCTAAGGCTTTAGTGTTTGAGAAAACTAAGTAGATAAGCCAAAATGTGATAACGAGTCAGAAAAGGCAAAAATGTGAGGCTCAGTAATTGAAATGAAAATACATGACTACACTTGCTTGCATGGGAAGCTTGCTCTTAATTTCTAATAAATACATACAAGAACATAAGAAATAGAATTCTGAAGAGATAGCTTT